CTGTATGTGCCCTGTGTGTGCCCTGTGTGCTCTGTGTGTGTTGTGTGTGCCCTGTGTGTGTGCTCTGTGCCCGCAGTGTTTCACGGCTCTGTGTGTGCTCTGTGCCCGCAGTGTTTCACGGCTCTGTGTGTGCTCTGTGCCCGCAGTGGTTCCACAGCGCGGCTGACGGCGGGGAAGGCGCCGGCGGGCTCACGACCAGCAAGTTCCGGGCGGACTGGGCGTTCCGGCAGCGGGACTTCGAGGTATTTCCAGGGCACGGGCCGGGGAAATGTGGGGGCACAGACTGGGGCGCCCTGCAGTCCCCGATGTGCTGCGCCCGGGTGAACGTACGTCGCGTACCGCGGCCTGCGGTATGTAATGTGGCTGTGCCGCATTAATGCCGCTGCTGGTGCGGGCAGAAGGCGGGGCAGGGCCGGGCCGCGGAGGGGATCTGTGTCCGGGCACGATCCAGCCCGCAGCACACTGGGCAGGAAGGCGGCGCTGCCCCGGAACTGATCGCGGGCGGGAGCCGGGCAGCGGCCAGGCCGCGGGCAGAGCGGGGTGTGTGGCCGGGGCAGTCACGCTCACAGTTTGGCGTGTGGCTTTCTCAGCGCCTGGGGATGATGCCGTGTCGCACAAAGGCTGTCAGATGGCTGGCACCACGTGGCTGCGGGTCACCTTTCTCAGAGCTCCCCCCGCTGTCAGATGGAAGCGGTAGTGGCCGTCAGGCTCCTGCCGGTCGCGGAGCTGCCTCTGCTTGGCTTGTGCCGGTTCTCTGCCGCCTCTGCTCGCTCCGCAAGGCCGCTTGTGCCTTTGCCGTGCCTGGATGTGGCCCGTGTCTGTTCCCGCCCGCGGTGGTCCCACACCTGCCCTCACTGTGTGCGTCCTGAGCTGCCTTCCTCATCAGCGGTGCTCTCCTGCCTTTTGCAGTCCTAGTTACAGAATCTAGGCCTTCATTACCTTGTTTTCTTGTCGAAATCAGCATCTCCAGGCTTTGTTTCAGGTGTAGCTTCCCTCTTCCAGCCTATGGTTTGCATTACCGGCTCCCTGATTTCAAAGCCCTCCAGGTGACTTCTGACTCTACTCTTCCTCCTAGCCTGTTGGATTTGTAGATCTTCTTGTACCTTAGTTGGTACTGATCCTGATGTTAGTCCAGCACTACTGCAGCCCAGTGTATACCTGACTAGATTTTCTAGTCTCAGCTGAGATGTCCTGAAGGGATTCATAAAAGGGTGCTGATAGCAGAACTGACTCAGGCTATGGTCAGATATAGCTGCTGACCTCCGGGAGAAGCAGATTTCTCCTTGCTGTGGTTCCCAATCAGGAGAGAAAAACACCTCCTCAGTTCTGCTAAATAAAATAGAGTATTGCTTCCTAACTCTTTTCTGTTGCAGTGATTTATGTTGGAAATGTTTTCAGTTTTATTGCTAACCTAGATCTCTGGTGGAACAAGAACCAGAGCTTGATTGCACATAAAATTACCAATTTGGAACTATTGACCTTAGAAAGGGGGCTGGAAATATGTAAATAGGGGTAGTAATCTCTTCTCTCGTTGTCAGCTTTTTTTACTTTAGGATAGGCCACTTGATAGGAAATGTCAAGGACAACAGAGATCTAAGCTGTGCCCATTTTTAGGATAGAGGTGACTGTAGAATCTGTTTGGGATTCATAATGCCTGAACCTTGCCAGGTTATATCCCTTTGTCACATAACAAGGCAAACAGGGTTGTCCTCAACCCTCTGATCCATTTTCACCAGTGGCTGCTGCATGCACTGAGCAGAGGGGAGCTCCCTCTTTTGCTCAGGGATGAATGTGAGATCAGCATCGGGAAAGAAAAATATTTCAGCTGTTTGGCTAGGAAGTATTTAGGGTGTGTCTCCTAGCTCTTTCTGTTGGAACCATTAAAGTTTGCAAGGACTAATTAAATACTGATTTTGAGAGATGGGAGAATGAGCACTGCTGTTTAGTCTTCTCTCTGAGCACTTACACAAAGGGAGAGAAATCAAGATTCCAGACTTAGCTTCACTGAATACTTAATTTAATGTATTTAAATGTTAATTGGAGTCCTGGTGAGTGCCCTGAGCATTAAGCTGCAGAAGTATTGCTCATTCTTGCCTTTTTCTTTAGCCCAATTAATATTTATTTCAAATACATTAAAACCAGCCTATGGGAACAATGGAGATTCATCTTCTTTGTGGTATTCTCTGACTTACTGATTATTTGAGGTTCAGACCTTCCCATGGAGAATGTCATGGTTTTGAAACAAGGCCCCATAGATTTTGGATGAGCACTCAGATCATTGAGCTGGGGGGAAAGATGTCTTGTGTCACATATTACCCAGGTCAGTAGATGATCCCTTCTGGATCAAGCCTGGTGGGAGAGAGGTGGAGAGATGTGTGGTGAATCCTGCTTGGGCCTCAGCATGAGTTAGAATTGCGGCTGCTCATCACCATCTAGACTTGGCTGTGCAGTACTGGGCCTACAGGTAGTACCTGAGTCTGGAGAACTGAAAATGTGTGTGGACTTCAGGTTCTGAATTTCCTTTGTGACTGTAGTCTTAAAATGCTTTCAGGCTTGCTTTTAAATGCAAATCTCTCCCTGTTTTGTTTGCTTTTCTTCCTGTCGCCACTCCTAGAAAGCCCTGTGTGAATACTCGGAGTGCCTGCTGCTCCTACCTGCCAGCAACATTGCAATGAGACGAGATGTCCAGGAGGGCCAGGCTCGGTGTTTATCTCGCCTGGGAAAGCACAAGGAGGCTCTGGATATTGCAGAAAAAATGGTAAATAACGCAGTCTTTCTTTAAGGCATTGAATATGAAAACATTGCCAATGGTTCTTTTATACTGACCATTTTCTGGAAAAATAATTTTCATGTGTATAATCCTTCAGGATGTTCAGTACTCGGAGTATTTGGTAAACAGAGGGTAACTGTCACTGCAGATATAATCACTCTTTAGAAACTGGAACACCCTGTACCACAATGAGCTCCCTGTGCAGGGAAACTGGTAGTCCTGGAAGGGACTAAATATCATGCTCTGCCAGGCAGAATTAATGCAATGTAATAGGAATTATAAGAAAGGGAATAAATGAGTGCTAAAATCTTTCCACTATACGAGTGACAGTTCAAAACTCCCTTTTATTTCCATATACTTGCTGCCAAGCTGCCACCAAGAAGAGTATCTAGCCAGAAATTGAATTTTTCCCATAAAGGAAAAAGTCCAGCAGCTCTGAAGTCTGCTGGAATATTATTGATGCTTTTTATTTTATATAAAAGGTATTTATGATGCAAAGAAAGGCAGCTGTAGTACACTACAAAGGCAAATAAACAAATGACAGCATTTAGGACCTTCTTGCCTCTCAGACTGGGACAAGGCAGCTAGAGGAAATGCTGTCAGATTGATTGTACAAGATCTATTGTATCATTTTAAATTAAGAGCACCATTTTGCAAAGTTTAAAAATTACCTTGTGATATTTGTATGTCATTATTCAGGGAGACATTTTCTTAGGCTCTGAAGGATGATTCTGTCCTACTCCTTTTTAATCTATTATCTTTTGTTTCTAGAGAAACAGCGCTACTAACACAGATCACTTAACGACGGTTCTCAACCTGCAGTTTTCCATTTACCAGGATCTGGAAAATGTGGAAAAAAAGATGATGTGTCTGCAGCAACTGATCTGCTTACATCCTTTCAATCCCTGGTTCTGGAAATTACTTGCTGAAGCTTATATGAGCCTTTTACAGAAATTGTCTCCATTGGTCATTCCAGGAGCAAATCTAAATCACTCTGAAGAGGTTTGTGTAAGTAATAGCAGTTTCAGAACATTGACTGGCAGAGAGATTAATTTGCAGCCTCACAAATGTGATGGCCAGAAAGAAGGCCCTTGGTTCAGCCTTGCTGCAGAAACAAAGGAGGAGAATGCAGTGACTTGTCCCAGCAGCCAAGTGGTGAAAGAATTCCTCTGCACTTCAGGAGAGCTGGAGCGGACAGACAAAGAGAAATGTGCAGACTCCAAGTCCTGGAAGCAGAACATGTTAAAGAAGGTTGGGATAAAAGCATGTGCCTCATTTATTAGAGCAAGGTAACTAGCTCTATGTATTCTTAGAATGTTAAGTTCTCTCAGTCAAGAATGATGTAAAGCATATTTTTCCCAGTTGTTTTCAGTTTGCATTTTCAATTTAAATGTTTGTTTTCAGTTTGCATTTTCAATTTAAATGTTTGTTTCAGAGTTGGCAACACTAACTTAGAAACACTCTACTGTTGCTTCAGATCTAAAAAGCAAAATCTACTTAGTGTGGTGGCTGTGAAGAGTCTGAATCTGAGTGGAAAGAGTAAACCAGTGTCATGCATGGTTGAGAAGTAGAATTTTTTAATGAGCTTATAATGTGAATCTTTTCAAGTAATTATATACAAAAGGGTCTGTTCTTCAACAAATGCTCCTGCTAGACCTGGTCTGGTATTAAAGATGCAGTAGCAGAAGTGCCCCAAAGGGAAGGCATAGCCAGTCTTCCTTCTGCGAGTGCCACCTGTCTTATTTGCTTGAAGCCTCATGCTTGAGTGAAAATGTATTTTATAATAATACCCCAATCTGCATAATGGATGAGGCTGGAAAATGAACTCCGTGACAGCTGATTGACAGGGCTGCATTAAAATGTTCTTTCCTTTTCTTTTCCCTCTTCCTAAAACTCTTGCATACAGCAAAAATCCCCAAAACATAATCTTTCAAAGAGATAATTAGGAACTGGTTTTGTTAAAATAATCTTGGACGGTTTTTTCCCCCTCTTGCCTCTCAGTAATGTATCAGTCATTGAGTGTTTTTAAAGGCATCTTATCAATATCCAGAAATGTTTACAGAGAACACTTTATAACTGCCCTGCTGGGGGAAGATTTAAGAAATGAAAAAAGCCCAAATAGTAGCTTTTAACTGTACTCAGACTAAGAGACAAAGACTTTAATTGCTCCTTGGAAGAAGTTCATTGATTTAGTACTGATAGTGAATATTGAAGGTACATTTATATTAATAATTTGTGCTGCTTGTATGTGTGTGTATGGTTCAGAACTGAGACAGTTATAAATTGTGGCATTTTCTTGCTTGGCTGCACAGTTTCACAGAGTGTTACTGTGGCTTATGTTTGCAGATACACTTGTCCAGGATAAGCTTCTCCCCTGCCCAAGGTTTATGCACATTGTATAATGTTTTCAGGTCTGGATTTTAAGTGGGGTGTAGATGTTATATAAATGTATGTGCAGGATAAGTTGCACCTGGAAAAGGGATGTTAGTATTGCTTTTTGTAGGAAATAAGGTTCTCTGTTAATGCATCATGAATAATTGACTCTTATAGTTTTGAAAAAAAATTGGAGTATTTTTTTGTTTAATTTTCATTGAAGTTTCACTCTTTTTTATACTGTATTGATGCAAATTTCAAAACAAAAATAGTTTATAAATTAAAAATACTTTACATTTTTACTTGGAACCAACAAACCATCTGTAAATTCAGGAAAGTTTTCACCAAGAAATTCAGATTTGTAAATTTTGATGTTTATAGTGTTCAGATGAAAGTTTTCATCCCAGATCTTGAGATCTTTTCCTTAAAAATGCACACCATTATTATAACACCAGCTTCACTTAACTTCAGTAAATGGGATAAAAAGATTGTTGTTTTTCTTTTTGCATAAAGCTTGAATAAAACACATTTTCAGTAACAACACTGCTAAGTGCTAATGGTGCTTTTATTAAATATTGTAGAATAATAGGATGCCAGGTTGGAAGGGACCTCAAGGGTCATCCTTTCTTGGCAAAAACATGATCTAGGCAAGATGGCCCAGCACCCAGTCTAGCCAGATCTTAAAAATGTCCAACACTGGGAAATCCTCCTTTCTTGAGAAGATTATTCCAATGACTGATCTCATTGTAAAATACTTTCCTCTTGTGTCCAGTTGGAATCTCCTCAACATTAACATTATACCTATTGTCCTTCATATTTTCCATGTGATTCCCTGTAAAAAGGGAGTCTTCATCTTCTTTGTAGCCACTCTTTAAATACTGAAACATGGTGAGGTCTCCCCTAAGCCTTTTCTCAAGTCTGGACAAACCCAGTTCTCTCAGCCTTTTACCAAATGGCAGGCTTCCCAGGCCTTTGATCACCTTTGTGGCTCTTTTCTAGACCCTAATAAATTCTCTAAAACTGGTATTTATCCCTGCAATAATGCAATAATTGTGAATTTCAGTGAGTTCACAGGAGATCATGCAATATGTCTTTGTGTTCCTAGAAGTGCAAAATAAGCATAATATTGTTAATCTGTCTGACAGTGGATTTGAGACAAATGTATAGATACCTGGATATTTCCTCTGCCAACCTGTTTTACCTTCATATCCTTTGTATGAGGAGGACTGTGGAAAATGCCACTGTTCCTGCTGGTTGAGCAGTTGGTGATGGCCCTGCATGACATCAACCTCTGTCATGAGCAGAGTGTGTAACCTTCACCAGTTCATGGCTGTGACTTCTGGGGCACTGCCTGGAACCTAAAACTGGTGAACACTTTTAGGAAATAATCCAGGGTTGGCCTGTGTGGGGAGGACATTTGATATTTGTCCAAACCCTCACATCTGTAGTTTTTCAGGTTCCATAGGCTAAAGTGTGCTGCTGTCTTGTTAGGCTGCAGTAAGGACATGGGACACCTGATGAGTCACAGGTGTCTCACTTTTGAATGGTGTGATGAATATATGGGCACAAAAATGTTTGCAGAGAGCAACCAGAGCCATTGGCATATAAATACAATACCTATGGCAGATTGATACAGGTGTATTGACTTCTTTGCAGTACCCAAAAGTCAGGAAGAAGAGCTGTTTTAAAGTATTAATTAATACTTTAATAATAATTAATTAATTAATTATTATTATTTTATTATAATTTTTATTTTATTATATATTATATTATATATAATATAAACTATATATTTATATTATATATATTATATATTATTATATTCTTTATTATATTAATATATTAATATTATTATTGATTATTAATTAGTAACATTAATTAATTAATTAATTAATTAATGTTAATGAAAGTATTAAACATTTTGGTTGGTTTTAGGTCTGCTGACTTACTCTTTTCCCAGCTGTACCAATTTTTGACTGCCTTTCTCATTCCAGGCTTTTACTTCAGCTTACCCAGTCACAACAGTTGTCCTTTGTGCTAGAGAATAACAGAAAAAGTCAAAAGGAAATTGATGACAAAGTGGCTCTACTTGGTTTCGATGAAAACTCCTTGCTGCTGATGACTAAAGTAAGAGGATGTTTCATTGCAGGGTCTCAGTTCTCTGTGTGGATTCAAAGCATGGCACTCCCCTGAGTTAATTACCTGTGCCAGGAAGCACGGGGAACTGGTGTTATCTGGAACTGACAGAGGTGCCTGTAGAGCCCTGGCCTGTGTCACACAGGTGGATCTCTGATCTGCTGAGATTATCCTTTCAGGAATGTGCAGCGTTGTTAAGTTTCTCACTGGACTTGTATTTGCACATGCATCAGCACTGTGCATTTCCTGGGATGGACATTTTATCTCAGGAGTTGTAGATGCCCCAAAGTGAATCGCTAGTTTGAAATGGAAGTGAAGATTACTTTGATGGCCACAGCAATATTTAACACTTGCATAAAAAGTATTAAATATTTCCAGAAAGAGACTTTATTTCGCATTTCTTTGTTTTGTCTAATGTACTGGGTTATAGTTTAAAAAACATAACAGAGGAGACCAATATTGCATTTAATCTCTTCATAGAGATTAAACGTTTTTAGTGCTATTTAAAGAGCTTCTGACTTTTATCATAAGGATCAAAATGAAGCCAGTGAGATTCTAACTTTGCTGTCAGCATTACAGCTTTCAGTGAGTGACAGCCAAGCCACTGCTGGGCTGCAGGCAGTCAGAGGGATGGCATCCATGAGTGGGCAGTAGCACACAGGCTGCCTCAGGGTTGGGAAACGCTGGGAAAAGAAACTTCTCTCCTTGCTTCCCTTGCTGGGACAAGAGAACTGCCTGCCCCAGGAGGAGTTCAGTGTTGATGAAGGTGAGCACCAAATGCAGAGCTGGCATTCAGATTTCTGCTGCTATTCAGAGTGAAACACTCCTGTGCAAGTGCAGCCAGAAGCTGGAGGGCTGGTGCAGTGCTGAGCTCTGGTCTCAGCTCTCCCTGAATGCAGAATGCCAAGGCAGGCAACTTCATCACGGCTTGGAAACTTCTCCAGGATGGTGTGTGGTTCATGTGACAGGGGCTTTGCATGTAAAGATCTTTTATTAGTGCCATGTTTGATGGGTTTCTTTCTGCAAGTTGTCTTCATGATTCCCTTCTTTCTTACTCTTTTTGCAGGCTATGGGGCAGGATCTTGTACCAGAAAAACTAAAAGAGGAGTTTCAGGGTGAGGTAAAATGCATAGGCCCTTCAGCGTTGTCATCACTGGTGACTGCTTCAGTCATGGAATTTGAAATTAAATGGTTTGGTAATCTCCAAGATGATTTATGCCACTTTGACAGACAATTTTATTCCGATATTTATCTCCCACCTTCAGTAACATAGATGTTTTGTTGTATTTATTCTTGTATTTCTAAATGATTATGGCATGATACATGCAATAAAGTTCATATTACATTTTTTTAAAAATTCTTACTGTGTTTCTTTTAAGAATAGATACAAATCTCTGTATTTAAACTATTAACCTTGCATCCTTTTCTTCGTTCACTGATTTGTTTGTATTTAAAATTATAAGGAAAACAAAAAATCAAGCTTTCAGCTTTCAGAGGTAGCTCTCCATCATACTCCTCACCAATTTGTGTTTGAAGTGCCTGTGATTTTTTTTGAGGCCTGCAATGCTAGTGGGATGGAAGCTTCCTTTCTGAAGTCAAATTTTAAAGTTTTGTGGTATCAAATTTAATGTTGTTGCATTTAGAGCTATAGAATGAGCAATTTTCTTAAAGTAATTCTTTTAATATTTCTTGATTTACATTATGGTGATTTTCTGTTCAGAGATGGATAGCTAGAAATCTCTAATATATTTATGCTTAGCAGTTGTCAATAACAATACTTCCATATATTTTAGGAAGGAAATCTAAGTAATAAATATTTAACTTAAAAACGAGGAGATTTTCTGAAGCCAAGTGTTTGTTGCAGGCATTGAACAAGCTATAGTGTTGTGTTCAGTGTGCTTAGATAAGAAGGAAAAAACTGACAAGGTTGTTTATATGTACTGAAGAGTGTTTAGTCAGAGCTTATCCTTTGTTAAAGCCTTCAAGGAAGATCTTTGCTGTGAAAACTGACAGTGTTGTTTCTGCCTCATCCAGCTCCTTCTGTTGTGCTTTCAGTTGATAGTGACAACACTTTGCTTTCTCAAGCACTGATGCTATGTGCTTTGGGCATCTAGAAGAGGGCAAAGATCCTCCTGTTTCTTTCACTTGAAATAGTTAACAATTCAGACATACATGGTGTGCTCTTCCCCATCTTCTCTTAAACTTAATTTTCCTGTAGATTTCTGTAAAAGTGTTCTGTAATGGATGGATGTAGTTCTTAGACATACTTTTCTGCCCCTTTTCTTCATGTATTCCAGTGTTTCCTTTCCGAGTACTGAAGAGTGCCAAAACCTTAAATAATTCACAATTGCATGATAATTCACCATGTGTGAATTGTATCTGCTACTTCCAGATGAATTTTAAAACTTTGAGATACTGATTAGGGAACCTGTCATGAATCATGGAATGGTTTGGGTTGGAAGGGACATTAAAGATCATCTAGTTCCAACCCCACTGCCACAGGTAGGAACACCTTTCACTAGACTTGGGCATCCTGTTCTAGTGTCTCACCATTCTCACAGCAAAGAATTTCTTTCTAATATCTAATGTAAATCTGCCCTCTTAAAGTTTGAATCCATTCCCCCTTGCCCTGTGACTACAGGCCCCTGTAAAAAGTCCCTCTCTAGCTCTCTTCTATCCTCCTTTATGTACTGGAAATGCACAGTGAGATGTCCCCAGCGCCTTCTCCAGGCAGCAGAGCACCACTTGTCTCAGCTTTTCCTCATAGGAGAGGTGCTCCATCCCTCTGAACATTTTTGTGGCCTCCTCTGGACTCCCTTCAGCAGGGTC